CTAAGATGTTTGATATTCAGACATAGTGAGGTTAAGCTCAACAGCCTAGGTTATATGGTAGTAACAATAGTCTTCTCTTCTGGAGGGTTAACAACCTAAGTTTGCAGACTAAAAATTAGAGAAAAAGGAGGGCCGCAAGGAAAGCCAAAATTTTGGCCCTAGCCTTCCAAGTTCAATTAAAACTCAGGACATATGAGGACCTGTACTGTAACATTGTGTAACTCAGTTGTGTCCCAAATTTTCTGAACAAGGAGATTATAGGGCCAAAGAGAAAAGTGATCGATGATGTAGAGTGTGCCTAAGGAGAGTCACGTGGAGAGAAAACATTCTCTCAGGCTTTCACAGAGGGCACATTGACCAACCACTGGTTGTGACTCATCCACATGGCTGACACTGACAAAGGATCTACAATCTGAGGTACAGGGTCTCAGGATAAATCCTGAGGGATTTGACTGACCTTATCATATCCAAAAGTTACAATTCTTATTACGTAGGTCTTGCTTTATCTTGGTCTTAATCATCCAGCAGAGAAGTATAAAAATGAAGTATAAGAAATAAAGCCATGCTGTTATGTTGCGCTGTAGGGGACTCAGGTCAACAACTTCTGACATTGCCAGTCAAGTGGAAGACCCAGTACTATTTTGGACTACAGGACTATTTTGGAATATTTTGCTGAGTTCACACACCTATAATATGTAAATGATGGAACTAAACAAAAAAAAAAAGGGATATAGATGAATGACCATTTTGTATCTGTGTATTCAAAATGGTTAGGATAGATATATAGCTACATTCTCTTAATTCAATGAATAGAGGGATCTGTTGTAATAGTGTTTGCAAATAGGACATCATGTCTGCATCTTGTAGAACAAATAAGCACTAGAACGGCAGTATGCCATGTGTTAATTATTGGAACTGTTCTACCAATTTGATTTGAAATTGTGTTATTGCTATTTATTTCTCAATAAAATTATGGAAAAAAATGCAAAATAGTTAGCATAAATATGCAGCTACTTTCTCTTAGTTCAGTGAGAAGAAAATTTTGAACTAATAGTTTTTAGACAAGATATCATGTCTGCATCTTGTGCTATGAATAACTACTACAAAGACAACAATATGCAGTGTATTAATTATTGCAAATGTCCTACTAACCTGTTTTGAAACTATCTTCTTGCTACTTCTTTCCCAATAAAATTATTTAAAAAAAAAAACAAAAAAAAATTTAAAAAGAATATATTCTAATTTTCCTTGCAGACGTAGTGATAGTCTCCTGCGTACCTTTATGGCAGCTGCAGTTCTGACTTTTGCACTTGCCAGGCAAGAGCTTATTCTACTGAGCGTCTCCCCAGTTCTTCCAGTAACACTTGAGAAGGACGCTCTTCCTCCCTCTGCTGAATTGACAGCGCACTGGTTAAAAAAAAAAAAATCAGTTGATTACTCACGTGGGTCTATTAATCTACTTTGTACTTCCTGTTTCTTTACTTCTGTAAATCTTCCGCGGTTAGTATCACTTGATTGCATACCTTCGAGTCAGAGTGAGCTCTTTCATGAAAGGTGGGTGCGAGGGCCTTGTTCTTTTTCAGGCTGTAGTAGTGATGCACTCTCTGCCGGCACCAACGGCAGCACGCTGTGCCACCTGTGAACATGGTTTACCCCTCCATTGATACAAAAGTCTCATTTTCTATTTCTCCACTTTCATAGGTGTGTTTCTTCCAAAGGACTTATGCTTTGATATTTAATTTTTTGATGCTACTTTAAAGAACACTGTTAGCACATTTTGGCTTTCGAACTTCCCTCACCAGCACTTTTCTGTATTGATATATTCTGTGATGGTCCTAAACAACATGGTAGTTTCGGTTTTCTTCCTTTCTTGGCTTCGTTTGTAGAGTTTATTTATTTATTTATTTAGCATTTAGTACAGGGTCTACAGGATCGCACCACGTAGATCGGACTCATAGTGATTCTCCTCTTTTCAGCCTCCCAAGCACTGGGATTACTGGGGTGCGCCACTACGCCCAGTCTCCGTTGCGGTCTCAGAGCGCCCCGGGGGCGGGACCGGCCTGGCACGCCGGGATTCGAATCCCGGGCCCTGCGCTCTGCCTAAGCAGGCGAGTTAGTCCGCTGGTCTGGCAAGCCCCATTTGTAAATTTTTAAAGTGTGCTCTTCATACCAAAGCACCTTCTGGTTAAGTCAGTACTTCTGCTTCTTCCTCTGAAGTTCTGTTATTTCTATTTTCATTTCTTTAATTATGCAAAGCATTTCTCTAGGCGAGACCCAGCATCTTACGTGTGTACCGATCTTAGCACACAGGACTCACCGTTAATTAGGGAATCGGCGGTGGGCTCGTGGCTGACGCTCTTTATCAGGCTAAGAAACATTCCTTTCTCTTTCCAGTTTTCTCCTTGTCATTAAAACAAAAAGGGTGTTTAGTTTTGCTAGTGGCTTATTTTTTTGTATGTACTAAGATAACTGTGATTCCTATTTTACATGAACAATTTTGGGCTAAAAAGTATGAAAATCGTGTCTCCTAATCCCTTTCCTCTTAGCGCTGCGAGCCTCTTTTTTAGTTACTGCACTCATTGCATGCTGTTTCCTTATTTAACATACAGAGAGATGTTCTGGTCCGGTAACAAGAAAGTCACTGGCCGTTCATTGGTTTAAAAGGTTCCACCCCCGAAAGCCTAGGACGCACGTTCCCGTGGCCCCTGCTCTTGTAAACCCTGACGTCTCAGTGCTGCCGGCGCCCCCTCCGCTCCTGTGCACTCCCGAACCCCTCAGCCTGGAAGCCGCAGGCCGGGTCCTGTCCGCCTCCCGTCGCAGCACCTCGCGGCCTGCAGGGGGCGCCGGAGGCACCCGGACCCGGAGGCCCTGGGCGCCACCTCCCGCGGAGCGGACGTTTTGGGTGCCCATCCCCCGCCTGCGCGTTGGCGTGAAGCACCTTGAGACACGGAGACCTCGGGACCCCAAGACGCTGAGACCCAGGGACCCTCGGACCCGGAGAGCAAGGGTCCCGACCGGAGTTCCACCCGGGGCGCCCAGAGCCCAGATCGTGAGGTGGGGACCGAGCCACGCCCCATTCCTTTCCGCCCCGAGGGCACCTCCCGCCCCGCGTCCCCCTGGAGTTCCTGTCACGTCGCCTCTGCCCTGGGACGCTGCCGGTGCGGAGGAGGAGGAGGACGGTGGCGGAAGGTAGGAGCCCCAGGGGCGCCGCGGACCCGGGAACCCAGCGCCAAGACTGGGGCGCGCGCGTGTGTCTATGTCTGTCGCGTGGGGGCATGTGTGTCTGTGTTTCCTTGTGTACTGTCACATGTGTGCATGTGTATCCGCGCGTGTGCGTGGCCCTGTGCACCAGCGCACCCCCTTAGACGGCCTTTGCAGCCTGGCGCAGTGTCAGTTCCCGGGGTGTAGGGTGCTGAGGTTGGGGAGGAGCGTTGTCCTTCTTGTGAGCCAAGCACGAGCCGTGAGCCTGACCCCACTCAGGCTTCTACACTGTTACAGGCTCTCGGTCCTCCCAGTCCCTGTGAGGCCGGTGGAATTATCATGCTTAATCAAAAGAAAGGGGAGCCGCAGGTGGTGGCGAGAAGCCCATCCTGGAATTTGAGGCCAGGCTGGCCTACATAGTGAGTTCAAGGCCGGCCTGAAAGACCCCGTGTCTTGCTAACTAAATAATAAGAAAAGAAAACACAGAACAAAAGAAAACAAAGGGAAGGGAGCAAAGCAGAGAGGTTTGGTGATTTCCAAGGACACCCAGCTGCTGAGTAGCACTTAGATTGACACCCACGTTGACTGATCCCCAGTCTCTGCCCTTGCCCGAGGTGCCTGCAGAGGTCAGAACACAGGCCGAAGCCTTCACAGTGGTCTCTGAACAAACAGGGGCCGGTGGAGGTGGAGACCACCCTGTTCGCTTCGCCAACTTCCCTGGCTCCCTTCTTGGGATTGCTAATAACCCCACTCACCTCCCTCCGTGAGAGCCCTCGGTACCCTGGGAGGGTGGCTTCAGGGGGCTGTGACTGTGCCTCGCCCCAGCATGGACCCTCAGCCTGGTGAAGCATAGATGGTTTGGTCTCAGGAATGAGGAGCCGCGCTGGCTCCCGGCTGGTGCAGGGGCGACCGGGTGGGCAGGGTGAGGGCGCTTGGTGTGGGCAGCGGTAGGTGGCAGGCTGCCTTCCACGCCAGCCTTCGAGCCAGGTTGCAGAGGTGTCTGGGCAAGAGAGGACCTGGTGGCGTCCGGGGAGTGGCAGATGGGCGACGTGCATGGGTGGATTTGGCGAGAGGGTGAGGACGACAGTAAGAGACACTGTGTGACCCAGATTTTGTTCCTGAGAGCAGGGGTGCGTGTGTGCGGTACACGCCGAGATCGCATTTTCTCTGTCTCCGTTTGGGGACCGTGCATTGGCACAGTGCAGGAAGAACGGCCAGTGCAGCTCGAGGGTGGAGCCTTTGCCACTTGTGCATGGGCGCTGGGTGCAAATCCCAGTTCTGCAAAGGAAAGATAGCCCAGGTGCTGCAATTTGTGTCGCGGCGGTTTGTCTCAGGAGGTGTTGCCTGGCAGGCCGTTCACCCCCTCTTGTCTCAGGCTCCTGCTTGCCTGTTCAGGCTGTGGGTGTCAAAGCTGTGGTTTGGAGAAAATGTTCAGCTTCCTTAGCGGATGCTGCAAACACAGGCAGCTGGCAGAGCTGGGGTTCAGGAAGGAAAGTCTCATGAAATGGAACGATTCCGATGAGGAAAAAGTGCCTGGAAACTTTCACACACGTGGGCACGTATTGATTTATGCCTTTATGAATGAGCGCATTAACTTGGAGGCGTCAGGGCCACACACATATTTCATTTTCAACATCCCAGACATAGTATTCTAAGTACACAATAAGTCCCCTAGGTGGTGCCTGTCCACCTTGGCTGCGTGTTAGAGGTACCTGAAGATTTAAGAGGACTCTGTGCCCTGTTTGTACACCAGAGCTGGGTGCACCTCATACATCATTCTTTTTAAAAATGTATTTAGTACAGGGTCTACAGCTTCTCACTGCACAGATTGTGGCAATCCTCCTGTTTTCAGCCTGCGCACCACCACACCATCTCAATCACTGTCTCAGCGCCCCCAGGAGCGTAGCCAGAACAGCAGCCCCCAGATCGAGCCCCTGTCCTTGGGCCTGCCTTGAGCTTCCAATAAGGACCCTCCTGGCTCAACCTCCTGAGTGCTGGGATTACAGGTGTGCGCCACCACACCCAGCTATTGGTGAAGTTTTAAAATGTTAAATTTAAAAGCACATGACTCAACCATAAAAATGAAGAAAATACAGATGAACATGTTTTTACCTCTGGAGGAAAGAAATGTTTTATATTTAAAAGTAATGGAAAAATCACAAAGTAAAAGAAGTAGTATTTTGACTGTATCAATATCAATACACTAAAAGAGGAATTGAAAGTTATCTAAACAAGTTCAACACCGAACATCCGAGAGCTGGGTGAAGGCTATAAAAAATGGTTCATAAATATAGAAATAAAATGCTTAATAATACCTGATTAGTACGTGCTTCATTTATAACCAAAAGAAATGGGGATTGAAGACTAATGAGACTTTTTCATCCTGACTACCTGGGTAGGTATTAAAATGACAATGTGCAGCGCTGCTCGCTCGGTGTGGGAGATGGAAACTTCTGAGCAGGGGAGGGAGGAAGTAGAGGTTCCTGCAGCGCTCCGGAGGAGCGGGTTCGTGGTGCGCATTCCTCGTGGGGCTAGAGTATCGCCGTTTACTCTCCCGTTGTACAGCAGCATCAAGAAAATGACGAGAAATAGAAACGATGAGGACGCTTCGGTGGTGTCTACTAGTCTCCAGGCCTTTTGCAGTAGCCATAACAAATGCGTGGAGCCTTCCGCGCAGCGCTGGGAGATAGGTGCTTCTGCTGCCCGTGGACACGGCAGCGAGAACAGCGAGCTTCAGTAACTCCTCCTGCGGTGATGCAGCTCACAAGAGGGAGGCCAGGTGGGGTGAGGCCGCGCCGCGGCAGCTGAGCCTCGCTCCTTACGCGGCGGCACGGTCCTGGGTTATTGTATAACGCGGCTCCGGGCGTGGATGGTAGTGTGTGCGCCGGAGGGCAGCAGGCGGCGGTGAAGGTGGCGCCCGCAAGAGGAGGCTGTGGTGTAGGAGCGTGCGCATTCTGTCTTGCTAGTGGAGGAGAAGATGTAACAGCGATCCAGCACCATGCAAGTGTTTAAAAACATAGAAAAGTGTAAGGCACCAGAACATACCACGCAACGTGAGCCAGTTGTGAGCATTCTCTCCCTTGGGTCTTCATTTTGTAAATATTCTACAAATTGCTCTACAAATCAGGACAAAGATCCAAAAGGAAGGAAAAAGAGAGAAATTTAAAAGTTACAGGAACACAACAAATAAACCCTCAACATAGTACTGAAACCCCCTAATATTCTTACATAGAAGAGTTGTAATATTTGTGTTCTCCTACATTTATTTTATTAATAATTGCTAGGCTAGCCACAAGTAAATACAGTATTTACGCTATTTTTCAAAATGGCTCTTTTTCCCTGGCCTTAAATGTGTTATGCAGTAAAGTGTTGCTCTTTTAAGTTTAAGCACACAATGTAACAAGCAGACTAATCTATGATGTCCACACCCAGAGCGCTCTGTGCTGTCCGCTGTCTTGTACAGGAGGGCCTGAGTGGATTTGAGCTGGAGACTCTTGGCTCACAGGCCATGGAATCGTCTCATAACCACATACCCTGGTCAGCCTGAGGAAACACGTAAGAAGCGGTGGCCTTGATGGGGCCTTGTGACCTTCAGCAGGGAGACAACACAAAGGATGCAGCACTTTGCTTGGCCCCAGCTGGAGCTGATGACGAAAGAGGCCCGGGAAAGGAGCCTGAGGCTTTCTGAGCGGAGCTGCCCTAGCCCATGGAGCCGGGCTACTTTTCCTCCTCATCCCTTCACCCTGCCGAATGCTGTGTCCTAGAAATTCCACCAGGTTCCTGGGGATGCTTTTCACAAGGATCGTGGAAGGAGCTTGGCAGCTTTGCTGTTCAACCTTCCTCATTGCCTGGGTACTAACCCCACTGCCCCTTTTAGGATGGGAGGTGAATGGTCACTGAGTGAGAACTGTCACTGTGCACCCAGTGGTCTTTGTGGACAGCAGCTGGCTTAATCCTGTGGTAAACCCAGAGCCAGACCTCCGTGTTGCTTGTTTCTGTGGCAGCAGGGGTGAAACCCAGGGCCCAGCTCCGGAGCCTGCAGTGCAGCCCTACGGTGGCTTCCCTCTCTGCCTTGGTGAGGGCGGTGCCCTGAGGCTCCCATGGCTCCCGTGCTGCTGGTCCTCTGAGCTTTGTGCAGTAGCGCACGGGTCCCTGAGCCGGGTCCTCTGCAGCACACTCTCTCCCTGAGACTGGAAGCCTCGATGCAGACCTGAGGGTCTGGGGTTCCTCCTGCCACCCAGTCTGCTCTCCACACTGTGACTACAAGGGTGAGGACTGTGGCTCCAAAAACAGAGGTCAAGGCAGATGGTCACTGTGAGTGTTAGGAAGGGCTCAGCGTGCAGGGCGCTGCAGCTCTGTGTGTTTCCCTGTCCCCAAGAGAAGCACATGTGGGTGTGTGAGGGCTGGAAGACCCCCACATGCACACCCTGTCCCAGTCACAAGTTCTGGTGGCTCTGGCTGTCACCAGGGCTCAGGCCAGACCTCAGAGAGGCCTGGAGACTGGGTCCTGAGACTTGGGACACTGTCATTCTGAGGCAGGAAGGCGGGTTTTAGAAAATTCAGCCCACAAATCAAGATGTAACTGCAAACCCTGCAGGGGGCTCTCAACATCCCCGCCAAAGGCCTATTCTGTTTGAGAACTGATCCCCTGAGAGGCACCTGCAGACGGGGTGGGACCTGTAAGGGGCGTGGCTCATGGGGTCTTGGCCCTTGCTGTGGTCCCTGGACAAGGGACGGCCATCAGATGAAGGTTCATCAACAGATGAACAGATAAAGAAAATGTGGTGTTTACGCACCATGGAGCACTACTCTGCCACAAAGAAGGGTGGACCTGGGTCGTTGTAGGAAAATGGATGCACCTTGAGACCATGACGTTATGTGAAATAAGCCAGACGCACTGACTTCAGTGTCACGTGGTTCCTCTTCTATGGAAAACCCACAGTATAAATAAGGAGAAAATAAAAGACTGATAACCGGAAACAGGGACTTAGTTTTTCACAGATGGGAAGAGGATCTGCAGATAGAGGGAGAGGAGAAGGGAGAGGGCGCAGAAGGCCAGAGGGTCGCAGTGCTGTGTGCGTCATGGCTCCAGGCAGTGCTACGCTGCCGCCTTTGACGCTGGCCTTGCAGGCAGGATGTGTAGACCGGACCTGAAAGACCTAGGATCTAGAGTTCTGGGAACGCACGCTTACAGGGTTTGCTCTGGAAGCTAAAATTCATTGTCCTGGAATTTTGTTACCTTTGTATTGTTGGAAGTTCTGAGAACTGTTGACATTTTAAGTGATATGAAAATCTTTTGGGCTACTTTTTGGAAGTTTGTGGGTCAGCAGATTTGTTTTAAACTTCCTTTTCATGCAGGCATTTTGTCTGAAGGCACCGGCTTAACCTGCCCTGCTGTTTGTAGAGGGACCGTGTACAACAGGACTTCAAGCATGCATCGTGGAGAATTGCTCTTGATAATTTGTGTTCTGACAGCTAAAAGCACCTCAGGTAAGTGACTATCATTATTCACAAATGTCTATCATTAATAATTGACGGTGTTGCCCTGTGGCGTGATGGCAGTTACTGAAGACATAAAATTTATTTGAATTTACTGATTTAAAATTTTACTTTAGAAAATTGGTAACTATTGGGTACCCATGGCACAGAGAATGTAAGAGTCATAGGAATAGGATCCAGTAAGGAAATGCATAAGGTACCGTTAGACGAGAGAAGAGCAGCACCCCAGGTTTATGCAGAGACAACTTTTATTTGGCTTGGAAGGAAGTTTGCTTCCTGTTACTTGAAGGCAAGGAGGCAAACAGCTTCATGACTAGTTTTTAGAACATTTTATACACACTCTCCTCCCTAAGAGATGGGCAAAGCTCCATCTCATTCTTTAGGGAAAATAGGGAAGTCCAGATCTATGAAGGCTGCAAAGCGTATGCAAGAGAGAGGGAGAGACTGAGTAGAGAGGAGCTCAGGTGGGCTTCCAACTGATGGCCAGCAGTGGTACCTCGGCTCATGAACTTGCTTCTTTCCACGATTCTGGTCCTGACCTGAATTGAATTTCCCCATCAGGTTGTATGTCCCCAGATGTGGAGTTTGCCAAAGGAAGCAAAGTTCTGCGAGTTCTTCTGTTGGCAAACCGAATTGTTCAAGGGGAGTATTTATGAGCTGAGGTATCATTGTACCCCTTCCAGTTGACTGATGGAGACTGGCTGTTTTATTTCTCCAGTGGAGGCGCAGTGAGAACCCGTTCCTTGGGGAAGTTTCATGATGAACATCAAGGTTTCCTGCAGGCCCTGGCGGAGAAAGAAGCAGCACCAGCGTTAATCTGCCTGGGTCTCTTATCTGTGCCAGGGGATCCCTGGCCCATGCCTTCTACTCTGGGAATTACTGTGGAAGGTAGAACAGAGTTAAGCTGTGGATGCTTCACACATCCAGGCCCAGGCTTGAGGTCTGGCTGCCTACGTGGGTCTGTGTGATGACACCCCTGTTCTCTGCAACAGGGCACTGCCCACGTGAGAAGGACGAGTAGATCTTCTCTCCTGGGTACACAGTGACCTGTCAGAGACTGTTAGGTACAACAGCTGGGAGCAGAGAGTATGTGCTGTGGTGACAAACTGTGGACGAACACCAGTGACCTCGCTCCCAGGCACAGAAAGAGCGCTGTAGCCTGTCGTGGCTCCTCCCGCAAGAGCCTGTAGAACACCTGCCGTGAGCAGTCACTGTGGGTAGAGGGGGCAATGCTCCATAGTGGGGCTTGTTAAGGCAGGTTGATGGTAGGTGACAGCATCCGGGGTTTGTCCAAACTCAGAGCAATTCCAGATGCAGATCTGATCCCGGAAGGCCTAGGTTCCTGGCTCTTAGGCCCACTCAGGGAGGAGAGGAGAGGAGAGGTTGGGAACCAGCTCCACACACCAGGATGTCCTGCTCTTTTCTAGAGAGTGTGCTCCTAATGAGCTTGGCACTGACCAGTGGTGCCACACTTCAGGGTTCTGAGTGAGCTCAGGGGTCTGAGGACGCTCGCTACCTGGACAGTGTGCATGCTCTGCTGCCCTCATCCATCCCCAAAAGCTATGAATTCACATTAGACCTCTTCACATTATAGCCTCCTCCTAAGAGGAGTGAATCCATCAAAACACAAGCATGTGTACTTAGAGGAGTGTCTCTAAGGTTGTCCAAACCTGGAAAGCTGGAAATAACCCAAATGGCCACTAGAGACTTGCTCAGTAATGCAGCCCCCTAATGTTCACCCACCTAGAACAAGTAGTGAAATGGTAGCACCACTGGATACCATGTTACAGAGAAAGGAACACATTGCAGCCTCTCTCAGCTGCCTGGCTGCCTGTCTGAGAGGCAAGGGTACACAAGCATCGGCACACAGGAGAGCGGGGGCTACACAGTTTATGTGCTCAGCTGCACGCTCATCTCTAAAAGGGGAAACGGATGGGCTGTTGGAGACTTGCTGCAGCTCTGGGTGGCCATCAAGACCAACGGCCACGTGCACGCATGCGTGGATTTCACCTTCTGATGGGAAAAGCTGCGGCTTGAGACAGAGATTGCACAACAGCCATGGGCTCTCACCCTGAGGGCTTCAGAGCCGTCTCTGCCCCTGGAGCCCCACTTCCTCTTTGGTTGTGTAGCAACACTGAGTGAGGCCAGTGACCTGTTGCTTTGGGAAATAAACCTGCGCCCGACAGGGCCTCCTGCCTGTGTCCTCAGGGATGCTCGCTTCACCGGAAGGTGCCCAGAACAGCAGAGGGCAGTGCGTGAGAGGGCTCCTGATGCCGCTTTCAGCTCCCAGAGGTCCCGCACAAGGGAGTGAGGACCTACTGTGTGCCTGCCAAGATCAGTGTGTGCGCATTCTCCATGCAAGAGGGTGGGGTGGGTTGAGAAAGACTGGAGCGAGGGCAAACACAGATCCCTTGGTGGGGGCCAGTTGTTCCAAGGGGATCCTGACTACCCACCTGGTCACCTCCAGCAGTGACAGGCGTCCCTGCCTCCAAGGCAAGGAGGGTGCGCTCCCTCACCTGACCCGCAAATGGGCAGCAGGTGTGGCTCAGGCCGGGATGGGCGGTTGAGGCTTCCAGGCAAGCAAGAGCCCGCCAGGCTTCTTTTCATGGGGACTCCTCTGTGGGAGACATTTGGGGTTGATGAGGCAGCACTAGGCCCGTGATTTTCCTCATCTAGCAGCTGTAATGCTCAGTATTTTATTTTAAAAGATGACACCACCCGTGTGTACCTCTTGGCTGTGGCGCATTACAGGCTAACCTCCTCCTGCATAGGAGGACGATCCGGTGTCTCCGTCTGCTGTAACCTGCACGTACCTTACCCCTCCCAGCACTAGAAAACCCGATAAGGCAATGAGATTTTCTCACTAAGCTTGCTTCTTCCCCCGGTGTGTCAGGAGAGTGCATGCTACCTTTATCATTTGTTTTGGTTTTTCCTTTGCCCATCTTTAGGGAGAAATTGTATTTCACGGCACCATGTTAGTGTGGTGGAAGGGGAGCCCTTTTACCTCAAGTATTGCTCCTCTTCAGCCGCTCCGGGCAGGGAAGCAGCCACCCCGAAATGGTACAAACACGACCCCCTCCACGGGCATGCTGAGCTGCACCCGGATGCCTCAGCCCGGGTCACGCTGCACCACGACATCTTGGAGTTTTGGCCGGTGGAGTTAGAGGACCAGGGATCCTACTATTGCCAGCTGGGGTGAGCACACCTTTTATTGCACTGTATTTTTTTAGGATTCTTGACTTTTGCTGAGCAGCTCAAATATCTGAAAGTTTTAAAATGGAGCTGCTCTGCCATATGGGTGCTGATGCGTGCTGTGGTCGAGAAACCCTGGCTAGGACTGTGGTGGTGCTATGTGGAGAGGGGGTGGTAGGCAGCCTCAGGGGAGGGAATGGGCTGAGAGAGACAACCTGGTGGGGTCCTCAGGGGTCGCTGGGAAGCCAGTGGCAGGGCCACTGGGAGTGTTTGGTGGCTGTGCATGAGCCAATGGCCCTGGACCACTGAGAGAGGGCATCCTAGACGGCTTTGTTGTCTCCTTGTGTCAGGGCCTAGGCGGCGCCAGGCTCAGAATGGAGGCACAGAGCTTGTGTGACCTCAACCAACGGGCTGTGTGCTGGCCACTGTGCTGGGAATGAACCTAGCTGTCCTTCTAGATACCTACTTACACACCTGTGTGTGCATGCGTGGGGCACACGCGTGTGTGCTTTTGTGAGGCTGACCGAGCGGCGCTGCCGAACTTGGGCTTCTCTTTGAAGTCACACTTTCCGCTCTAGAGAGTGCTGATCAGTATCAGCAGGCTTTGGAGAGCAGAGGGAGGGGGAGAGAGGGAGGGAGGAAGGGAAAGAGGAAGAGAGAGAGAGAGAGAGAGAGAGAGAGAGAGAGAGACAGACAGAGTGAGAGCAAAGTGTTGGATCACTCCCGTGGCTCTGCACCAAATGAGATTGTGGTTTTTCATTGCTATGTGTAGAAACTCCTAGAGTCAGAAAGAAATCACAAAGCTCTTTGAAGAACCAATACACTTTCCTGAGCCCTCAGCAGTGATAATTGTAGAAGGGGATCATGGCTGGGTGTTTTCCTGGCCAGTTATGGAAGAAGGGAGACAGTGAACGGGGAAAAGGAAGACAAGCACATGCTATCCCCTTCTGATTCCTGAGGGAATGAAGGAGTCGCTTGAAGGCACCCGCGCTCTGGGTGGGCAGAAAGTGGGTGGAGGCCAGAAGCCAGCCAGCTGTGGCCTCCCCTGCCACACAAAGGAGACAGGACACTTGCCACCATTCTGAGGGGAGCTGGAGGGCACATCGGGGGTCAGGAGCAGATCGGGGCCATTGGAGAGGGAAGGCCAGAGAGGCATGCAAAGAGACCCTGGATGGTGGGCAGGAGAGGGCAGAAAAGGACGGGGTCACCGAATGCCCTAGGGAACTGGGTCAGCGTGGAGTCGCTCTGGCAGTGGATGGTCCTGTGTGCGGTCAGAGCATGGGAGGCCAGAGATCTCCAGACAGTGTGGTCTGCAAGCAGCAGCCCGTGCTTCATGTGTGTGGTGCGTGTGTGTGGTGTATTTGTGTGTGTGGTGTATTGTGTGTGTGTGTCTAGACTGCTCAGGGTTCCATCTTTAACTCCTGACAGTTGTTAAACTGTCAACCATGGTATGAGGCAGAGCAAGCTTGGGCCTCAGTGAATCAAGGTCTTTGTACAGAGCGAGGGGAGTGTGACCTGGATGGGAAGCTACATGGGCAGCCACTGTGAGGGCCTACGCTGACCGCAAAGTACCTTACGCCTTTATTTCATAGAAATGATACCCAGGAATGGAAAGTAAACGTTGTCAAAAGAGATAAGCAGAGCTGTTTTACTGAAAAACAAGTACAAAGTAGACACGTGCGAGTTACCAAATCTTTGCAGATAGCCTGCAATAACAGTCACTATAAGGAGTGGATCCACAGGACGGTGCTGTACAAGGTGAGGTTTCTGAAGGCGTCAGCCTGTGGTGCTCGGGGAGCGCCAGCGTTGTGTGTGCGGATCAGTTTCTGTGACCCTTGTAACAATATGTGTGGGAGGAGTGAGGAGCTCGCCTTCTGCCTTCATTTCCTTCTCTATCCCTGAATACTAGGCGTTCTGGAGCTACTTAATCAATTGGTTGTTTTCCAAATTGTTTATTTCCAAAAATAAAGTAAAAATGTAGCAAAAAAACCCCAACTAGCCAACCAAACAGAAGACAGTGAAGAGGCTTGTGTATCCTGGAAAAATCTGCCTGGGGATATAGAGTTTTGGTTTACACAGAAATGTGTTCCAGTCGTGAGTGACATGCGGAGCTTCTCAGGCCCGTCCTGGGCCCTGTGGGGTGCTGGCCCAGTGGCCAGCACGTGGCCTGCTTGGAGGTAGCAGTCTGTGGACTGTGGTCCTGCTTGGCACCTGCAGGGGGTGTCGGCTGGCCGGGGCAGCCGCTCAGCGCCCGCTGTCCCACTGGGCACCTGGACTGCTCCTCACCTGCCTGCTGTGGTGCCACACCACGAGACTGAGGAAGGTAGTGTGATTAGGGTCCTTGCTTCCCATGCCGTACATGGAAATCTGAGGGGGAGTGGGAGGACTGAGGCAGAGTCGGGGTACCCACAGCTCTGAACATCGCAGCTACCTTTCTAGTCCACTGCTGTCCCTGGGACAGGACACCAGGTGGGAGTGCCGTGGCGTGCTCTCTTCCCAGGGCTCTGCTCCCTTCATGACCTTGGGCAGAGGGTTTGGATCCAAGCAGGAACTTGGCTGCTGTGGTATCTCTCTCTGTCTCTCTGTCTCTCTGTCTCTGTCTCTCTGTCTCTCCCTCTCTTTCTGTCTGTTTCTGTCTCTGTCTCTCTCTGTCTCTCTGTCTCTGTCTGTCTCTCAATCCCTGTCTCTTTCTGTCTTCCTATGTTTCTGTCTCTATCTATCTCTCTCTGTCTCTCTCTCTGTTTTTCTCTGTCTCTCACTCTGTTTCATAATCCCTGTTTCTTTCTGTCTTTCTGTCTCTGTCTCTCTGTCTCTGTCTCTGTTTCTCTCTGTCTCTGTTGATCCCTGTCTCTTTCTGTGTCTCTGTCTCTGTCCCTCTCTCTCTCTTCCTCTCTCTGATTAAAAGAAAATGATGTCAACAATGCAGCGCCCCACCTCTGTCACCCAGTCTGTATTAAGAGTGGCAGCCACAGTCACCACCTCGGACACCATTCCTGGATCCAGCGCCAGCCTTGCGGGTCACAGGGATGCGGGATCCATTCTATTTTCCTTTCTCTCTGAAATCTTAAGCTTTAACAGTGTAAATAACTGTAATGGAGGAACACTCCTTCACTTATTTAAAATATTTTAATTTGCTTTTCAAAAAACAGAACTGTACAAAAATAGCCGAAGAAAACAATCGATTCTACCTAATGCCCATACTGAAGAATGCGGAGTTTGAGGACCGGGGCTACTACTCCTGTGTGTTTTTTCTTCGGCACAACGGAAAACCATACAACATCACCAAAACCTTCAACATAGTGATAGCTGAAGGTAAGAGGAGTCTCAGCATTGTGTAGAACCCAGTATGGAATTTCTTGTCAAGCAGTGAACAAAATCCACTCCTCAAGTCGTGGTCCAGGTTAACCCAGAGTAATAGTGTGTACAAGATAAAAAGACCTCCAGGAAAATGTTGAAAGCTAACTCTAGCGGGGTGTGGTGGCGCACACCTGTAATCCTAGCACTTGGGAGGCTGAGGCAGGAGGGTCACCTCAAGTTTGAGGCCAGC